AACTGATTTCCAGATATTATAGTTTTTTGTCATCTGGGAAGGTCCTTAATTTACCTTTAATTTTAACTGATAGCCCTGCTAGGTAGAGTAGTCTTAATTGTAGATCCTTTCCTTTTATCACTTTGAATATTTCCTGCAAATCCCTTCTGGCCCGAGATGTTTCTGTTGAGAAATATGCTGACAGTTTCATGGGAAGTAACTGTCTTTCTCTTGCTTCTCTTAAGACGATCTTTGTCTTTAACCTTAGCTATTTAAATAATGATGTGTCTCTGAGTTCATCTTGATTGGGATTCTGTATGTGGGCCTCTGAGTTCATCTTGATTGGGATTCTGTATGTTACCTGAACAGACTAAGCACAAGATTTTAGTGATTATTTCTTCATTTTTTCAAATCCCTTGCTGTCTCTTCTCCTTTTGGTACCCCTATAATGTGACTGTTGTTAAGCTTGATGTTGTCCAAAACATTTCTTAGATTTCCTCATTTAAAAAACTTTTTTTTCCTTTTGTTGTTCTGCTTGGGTGTTTTCTGTTATCTTTTCCTTTAAATTGCTGATTCAATCCTCTGCTTCATCTAATCTGCTATTGATTCCTTCTAGTGTATTCTTCATTTCAAATATTGTATTCTTCTCATTGAGTTCAACCATTGTTCCCCTAAATTCCTTATGTATCCATATAACCATTGTTTTGAATCTGTGGTAGATTGCTTGCCTCCATTTTATTTAGTTCTTTTTTTCTGGGGATTTCTCCTCTTCTTTCATTTGGGGCATGGTTCTTTGTCTCTCTATTTTGCCTGCCTTTCTGTATTTGCTTCTGTGTATGAGGTATATCTGCTATGCCTCCCCAATGTTGGTATGCTGGTCTTATGTAGCTGGTGTCTTGTGGGGCTCAGTAGTGCGATCTTCCTGATCACTTCAGCTAGGTGTTCCAGAAATGTCTCTTGGGTGGGTCATGTGAGCCCTCTTGTTGTAGTGGTGTCATGACTGCTGCCAGCCCATCTGTGAGTGGACTAACGCTCAGGCAAGCTGACTATAAGGATCGACCCTGACCACAGTGTATGAGCCACTGTGTGGGACCTCCCCCTCGAATCAGAGTTGGCCCCAGCAGAAAATGGCGACTGCTGAGATTTCCCTGTGAATGTGCCACTTGTGTGGTTGGTTGGTTGTGCTCTGGTTTGGCCTGAAGCCCAACTCTGGTTGTGCTGGTTCTGGGTCCATTTTGGGAGGAACTCTGGTGCAGGTGAATGTCAGAGGCTGCCTGTAACTGGCTTTGGACTACCCTGTGTGGAGCTACCATGTAATCCACAGTTAGTGACTGCCTCCACTGGGTCTGGGTGTGTGTAGGAACAGACAAGCTGTGTACAAAGGTCGGCTTGAGAAACTCCAAGCCTGGGGCAGATCAATAAAAGGCCCAAGGTACTCAGAGATCAGCCTCCATGTGGCAGCTGCTCCACCACCCTGAGGTTGCCTGGACTTCCTCCAGAGTCGCTTGAATAAAGTCTGTAGTGTGGGCCCAGGCTGGCGGTAGCCTACAAGGTGTGAGCTCAATAGGGCATGGCAACTGGGGACAGAACAGGGCTAGTGGATCTCCTGTTTGGGGGTGGTATGGGACAGGCACTCAGTGGGGGAAAGTGGTCCCTACTCCAGAACCACAGCACTCAGTCACTGCATGAGTCTCCAAGCAGAGGATCCTTAAAAAAGAGCTCACTGCAGGTCCAGGCTGGGTGCAAGAAACAGACTTTTCTGAAGGACATAAGCTTGGCAGGGCAAGGCCACAGGGGTTGGGAGGCCAGGTCTAGTGGGTCTCCTGGTGATGGACAGCACCGGTGGGGTAAAGTGGGGGGAAATGCCCCCTGCCCTGGAGCCACACAACCCAGTGCCTGTCTCAGTTGCCAACAAGAGATCCTCAAGAAAAATTAAAAGCACACCACAGGCTCGGGTGATTGCAGCCAGCAGTCTTTTCTGCAGGATGCAAGCTCAGCAGGGCGGGGTCACCGCAAGTCAGAATGAGGAGACTAGTGGGTTTCCTTGAGGGGGGTGGGCACCAGGGGCCACAGGAAGGGAAAATGACCCCTGTTCTGGAGCCACAGAACTCAGTGTCTCTGTCTCCACCAAAATCTCCTCAAGAAACGAAAATCGCACCAAAGGTCCCACTGGGTACAGTCAGCCAACGTGAGGTCAGCACAGTGGGGCCACTGGGAATCGGAGGGATAGGTCTGTGGGTCTCCTACTGGCCAACAGACAGCACCAGTGGTGGGCAGGGTGGAAACATGGCCCACGTTCCAGAGTCACATAATTCACCGACTGCCCTAGGCTCCAACAACTACTGTGTTTGCCTGAATGTCTTTGTTTCACAATGCAGAACGCACTGTGCCCAAGCTGCAACAGACCTTTCTGCAGGTCATGAGCTCCGCCAGGTGTGGGTACCAAGAGTTGGAGGACTGAGTTAGTATACTCCCCCAGACTGGTGCTATGAGGACAGAAGTGCTTGACCCAGGGGAGATGGCGCCTGTGGGCCTTTAGATGAAGCGGGTGAACAAATAAGCGATTTGAAGACGTGGTGGCAGAAAACACCCAATCATAGCAGTAACAAGAAAAAAAATATTTTTAAGTAAAAATAGTTTAAGGGACCGTTGGGACAACAGGAAGTGTAACAACAACCCTTACAATAGCCAAGATGTGGAAGCAACCCAAATGCCTATCAATTGACGAGTGGATAAAAAAGTTGTGGTTCATATACGCAACGGAACATTATTCAGCCATAAAAAGAAAAAAACCCCACACAAAATCTTACCATTTGTGAGAGCATAGATGGACCTAGAGGGTATTATGCTATGTGAAAAAAGTCAGTCTAAGAAAGACAAATACCGTATGATTTAATATACATGTGGAATCTAAAGAACAATATAAACGAACATACAAAACAGAAACAGACAGATACAAGTAACACCACCTGGAACCAAGATGTTAGTGTAGGTAAATGCAGGTATTTGCAGCCTCCCACAACCACATCAAAATTGCAACTAAAATCCTGTATAATAAAGAGCTAACATGCTAATTAGACTGGACATTGGAACCACCTTCTGGAATGACCAGTGGGTGGGGGGTGGGGCCGTGTGGCTTTGAGGCAGACGGGGTTACAAAAGCTGAGCCCCTTGCATAAATTTTGTGCATCCGGCCTCTAGTACAGACTGACCATCATTCAGAACCACCTGAAATCAGATTGAATGGAAGCCCTACAACTAGAGAAGTAAAGAAGAAAGGACACTGAGGCTGGTGGTGGGGGGGGGGGGGGCGGCACGGAATGGGCTGGTCTGATACCCACTTGTGCCACTTTTTTAATTGGTAGGGAGATCTCTGTGGAGGCCACCCATGAGGAGCAAGGGGTCCCAGCCCCACATCAGACCCCCTGCCCAGAGTTCCAGTGCTAGGAAGAGAAGTCCCCTTAACTTTGGGCTGTAAAAACCAGCAGGGGTTGTGGCTAAGTGACAGTAATGCTATTGGAGACCCAGTAGTTCCTCTTAAACAGCTGGTGCATAGACTTACATGGTCCCACTTCCTCTGAGCTCCAGCACTGGGTGGCAGCTTTGAGGGATCCAGGGGCATAGGGGGAGAAACTGGATTGTGCCCGCAACCAAGGTACATGCCCTTGACCGGAATCGAACCCAGGACCTTTCAGTCTGCAGGCCGACGCTCTATCCACTGAGCCAAACCAGTTAGGGCTCAAGCCAACTTTTAAGAAACTTTACATCACTAATCATCTGCGAGATGCAAATCAAAACAACAATGAGGTACCTTCTCACACCTGTCAGAATGCCTATCATCAACAAATCAACAAACGACAAGTGCTGGAAAGGATGTGGAGAAAAAGGAACACTCGTGCACTGCTGGTGGGAGTGCAGACTGGTGCAGCCACTATAGAAGACAGTATGGAGTTTCCTCAAAAAGTTAAAAATGGAACTCCCATTTGACCCAGTGATCCCACTTCTAGGAATATATCCCAAGAAAACAGAAACACCAATCAGAAAGGATATATGCACCCCTATGTTCATAGCAGCACAATTCACCATAGCTAAGATCTGGAAACAGCCTAAGTGCCTATCAGTAGATGAATGGATTAGAAAACTGTGGTACATCTACATGATGGAATACTATGCTGCTCTAAAAAGGAAGGAACTCTTACCATTTGCAACAGCATGGATGGAACTGGATAGCATTATGCTAAGTGAAATAAGCCAGTCAATGAAGGAAAAATACCACATGATCTCACTCATTTCTGGATAATAAAGACCATTATAAACTTATGAACAAAAATAGATACAGAGGCAGAGAGCAGCATCGAACAGACTGTCAAACTACAGCGGGAAGGCCGGGGAGGGTTGGGGGGCAGGCGGTGGGGGGTAAGAGATCAACCGAAGGACTTGTATGCATGCATATAAGCATAACCAATGGACACAAGACACTGGGGGGTAGGGGAGGCTGGGGGAATGTCAAGGGGGAAAAAAAAAAGGCGACATATGCAATACTCTTTGTAATACTTTAAGCAATAAAACAAAATTTAAACAATAAATAAATAAAAAACTTTACAAATGACAACTTATACATTCCAACCTTAAAATCAGAGAATAAATCAATAGTAATTTCTATCTTGCTATTTTTAACATTTTTAAAAAATGAAGGGAGATGGAGAGAGAGACAGAAACATCAGTGATGACAGGAAACATCATTGATCAGTGGCCTCCTGCACACCCCCAAATGGGGATCCAGCCCACAACCCAGGCATGTGCCCTGACTGGGAATTGAACCGTGACCTCCTGGTTCATGGGTCAATGCTCAACCACTGAGCCACACTGGTCAGGCTATTTTTAAGTCTCTTTTTAAATTTCAATTCTTTAAATTTTCTTTTATATGTCAATATTTACTACATATTTTAAATCTTACTTTTCAGTGACCTTTCAATAGAATGTTAATTATTTCTCTGGTTAAAAAAAATCTATTATCTTACCCATCCATAAGCAGTACTTCGCTCATGCTCCTGAGTGACATCAGCTACATACGCAAATATCACAGAGAATGTGACTGAGAAGACTCCAGACACAGAAATCATTGCAAAATACCACCTATAAAAAGATTATTTCAGTTACCCAGGAGAGAGGTAGTGTATGTACATTTTTATAACCACAGTCAAAGATATCATGTAGATTATAAACAAAGAAATAAATTTTATTTATATGCATGTATAAGATATAAAGGACAACTAACAAAATTATAATCACATGGAGAAAGAAGCAGAAACATACTAATTTTATCACTGCTCAAAGGGTGTCAGTACATGCAGTTTAAATAAAGTTAGCCTGGCCGGTGTGGCTAAGTGGTTGAGCATCCACCCATGAACCAGGAAGTCATGGTTTGATTCCCGACAGGACACTTGCCCAGGTTGTGGGCTCCATCCCTAGTGTGGGGCGTGGAGGAGGCAGCTGATCAATGACTCTCATCATTTATGTTTCTATCGCTTTCTCCCTCTCCCTTCCTCTCTGAAATTAATAAAAAAATATTTTTAAAAAACTAAGTAAAGTTATAGTTTTAAAGGAAGCTAAAACAAGAGAAAAACTTTCTAAATTTCCTAGCTTTAGTTAAGAAAAAGACATATTTAGCAAATGACTTTATGAGAGCTACATAAAAGCAGAAAGAGTAACAAAAATATTAATGTAATTAAGACCAAACATTTTTATCACATGCATAGATGCTTAAAAAAAACCAACTAGTTAAAATACTAGCAAACAGGACAAAACGCAGGGTTTATTCCAGATATAATAATGTTTCAATATTAGAAAATATATTAATGTAATTCATTATGGTAACAGATCCCAGGAGAAAAATGAAATGATCTCCACTGATGCAAAAAAGGCATCTAATAAAATTTGGCATCCAATCTTGATTTAAAAAAAGAAAATCTCTGGATAAAATAGAAATGAGCATTTTTCAATCTAAAAGCTAGCATTACAATGTGTTCTTTACGAGGAAGGTATGTCTATAATCATCACTTTTATTTATCATTATTCACACAAGTAACAAAAGCAGCAACAAGAAAACTGGAAGAGGTAAAATCATTTAAAGATCTATAAAACATTTTTAAAGAATCTCGAGAACATAAAAAAGCTATAATTCATTGGGAAAAGCAGGACATTCTTGGAAAGAAAGGCTTAATACCAAGTAGTTTTTTTAAATTCTTCATCTGGTAGGAAATAAAATGCTCCAGTATGGTTACAAATTTAGAACATGATGATAATCTATAATAATAAAAAGGTAATATGCTAATTAGGCCGGACGTCCTTTCTGACGAAGCAGGGTCCGGAGGGAAGCCAGCCCAGTCCCGGGTGCCGGAGGGAAGCTGGTGCCAGCAGCCAGGGAAAGGAAGGCCTACTTTTGCACAAATTTTTGTGTATAGGGCCTCTAGTGTTGACACAAAATCCCTATAAAATAATGAAATGACAATATTTGCACACAAGAAAAAAAAAAGAAAAGAAAATCTATTAATTAAAAACAAAAAACAAAAATCTTCCATCATAAGGTATGTCAGGGGTGGGCAAACTTTTTGACTCGAGGGCCACAATGGGTTCTTAAACTGGACCGGAGGGCCGGAACAAAAGCATGGATGGAGTGTTTGTGTGAACTAATATAAATTCAAAGTAAACATCATTACATAAAAGGGTACGGTCTTTTTTTTTTTAGTTTTATTCATTTCAAACTGGCCGGATCTGGCCCGCGGGCCGTAGTTTCCCCACGGGTGAGGTATGTCCTTCACATTGCTGAGATCAGCAACAGGAATTCTGGCCAAATTACCATCCTCTGGACTCCAGGAAAACAATAATGTTACAAGCTCAGGTGCAAATTCCAACCCATCTTTGGTAACTAAATAGACTTGTTTACATGCTAAATATTCTCTCCCTATTTATCACAAAAAAAATGAGATCTAATTAAAATTCATATTATGGCCCTAGGTGGGTAGCTCAGTTGGGTTGACCTTCATCCCGATATGGCAAGGTTGTGGGCTAGATCCCCACTCAGGGCACATACAAGAAATCAACCAAAGAAGGAATGAATAAGTGGAACAACAAATCCATGTTTTCCTTTCTCTCTCCAAATCAATAAGTAAAAAAATTTTAAAAATTCATATTATGATTTAGAATAGGCTATTGGTTTGACTGCATTATACACAAAAGTGACCCCTGACTATTGACATAAATTATGTTCAGATCAGTGTCCTAGACCAGTGGTCGCAAACTGCGGCTCTTTGGCCCCTTGAGTGTGGCTCTTCCACAAAATACCATGTGTGGGCACGCATGTACAGTGCGACTGAAACTTCGTGGCCCATGTGCAGAAGTCAGTATTTTGTGGAAGAGCCACACTCAAGGGGCCAAAGAGCCACATGTGGCTCACGAGGCACAGTTTGCTGACCATTGCCCTAGACCAGCCGTGGGCAAACTATGGCCCACGGGCCGGATCTGGCCCGTTTGAAATGAATAAAACTAAAAAAAAAAAAAAAAGACCGTACCCTTTTATGTAATGATGTTTACTTTGAATTTATATTAGTTCACACAAACACTCCATCCATGCTTTTGTTCCGGCCCTCCAGTCCAGTTTAAGAACCCATTGTGGCCCTCGAGTCAAAAAGTTTGCCCACTCCTGCCCTAGACCAATGAGCTGACCAAAACAATTACATTCCCAAAGGAACTTGAGCCACAGGAGCGAGTGGGATCCCCAGGCCCCCTTCCCCACAAGACCCGAATCCTATAACTGACTCATGTCAACTATAGCTTTCACTTCTCTTTCTTTACCTTGGACTTAATTATGTAATCTCTTCATTTCCCCATTATAATATGGGCAAGATAGCAACTGCCCAAACTGGCTTTCAGTATTAGCAAAGAGAGCAAATAAAAACAGATACAACTGCTTTGAAATTGTTAAGAAGGGCTCGCAGATGTATTATTCATATGTGACCCAGGACAGTCAGGATGACGAAAGGCTGAGCACTCACCACGGGCTGATCACCATCAGGGGTATTGGGAAACAGGTAAAGAAGACGGTGCCCAGGAGGAAGGGCTTCCTCCCCCACACATCGGACAGGGCACCTATGAGCGGGGCACTCAGAAAGGAGAGCAGACCCTGGAGAAGAAAACAGAAGCAAAGTCAGAGTTACGATACAACCCCGTTACAGTACTTGTAATTCTCATTTTCTAAATGCTGCAGTTCAGTTTTTGGTCCCCATACAGAATAACTTAAAACACTGAATATAAACAATCATTTTTAAAAATTCTAACAAAATTTCTAAATATTGTTAGAAAAGGAAGAGAGGGGTAAGAGCTTGTTTTCTGGGACAAGTTGAAAGGGTGATATGAAATATATTTATAGCCACAGTTGGCCCTTAAGATGAATATTAATAAATTCATTTCAATAAATATGCACAGCATATTATGTACAAAGCTGTGAATTAACTGGTGCCATAAAGACACCCAAACAAGCCGAAGCCGGTTTGGCTCAGTGGATAGAGCGTCGGCCTACGGACTGAAGGGTCCCGGGTTCGATTCCGGTCAAGGGCATGTACCTGGGTTGCGGGCACATCCCCAGTGGGAGATGTGCAGGAGGCAGCTGGTTGATGTTTCTAACTCTCTATCTCTCTTCCTTCCTCCCTGTAAAAAATCAATCAATATATATATATATATTAAAAAAAAAAAAAAGACACCCAAACAAATACACACCTGCTACTCTCAAACCACTTGTAAGCTAATAGGGATAAACAGAACAAGTATGCATATACCAAAGGTCCATAAGAAAAGTTAACCACCTATCTTCCTGTTGAATTTAGGAAGAAGATAATGCAACTTGACAACAGGGATGAGGCTAAAGAGTAGCAAGAAACAAGAACATCACACATTCGCAAAGGAAGTAAAGAATCTCACACTTATTATTTGCCAGTCACTCTGTTAGCTGGCACTTTTATAATCACTTCCTTTTTGACTTCAGGGTCCTCTGAGGTGGCCACAGGCCTGACCCGCAGACCCTGCTGGTGGCACAGTGCTCACTTCACATGTTCTGTCTGCACATTACAAACAGATTTCCAATCTCTCTCTTTTGAGCTCCATGCTTACAGCCAAATAGGCTTCCCTATTAGGACATTTAAGATGCACACTCTCACTTTACAGCAGTCCCCCTTTATCCAAAGGGCATACATTCTAAGCCCGCTAGTGGATGTCTGAAACCACAGATAATACCAAATACTGTATATGGTATGTTTTTTCCTATACGCATATATCCATGATAAAGTTTAATTTATAAATTAGACACAGTAAGAGACTGACAACAATAACATATACTATAATAAAACCTACGTGCCTGTGATCTCTTTATCAAAATATCTTATTGCACTGTATGTACTATGTGGATACTCTGGACAAAGGGACGATTCAGATGCCAGGTGGGATTGTGCAGATTTCATCATGGTGTGCAATTTAAAACTTATGAATTGGCATATAAGCATAACCAATGGACACAGATAGTAGAGGGGCGAGGCCATGTGCTGGGTGGTGCGAGTGGCCAGGGAGAGGTCATTGGGGGGCGGAGGGGGAGACTTATGTAATACTTTAAAAAATAAAGAATTTCGCCCTAACCGGTTTGGCTCAGTGGATAGAGCGTTGGCCTGCGGACTCAAAGGTCCCAGGTTCGATTCCGGTGTAGGGCATGTAACTTGGTTGCGGGCACATCCCCAGTAGGGAGTGTGCAGGAAGCAGCTGATCGATGTTTGTAACTCTCTATCCCTCTCCTTTCCTCCCTGTAAAAACTCAAAAAAATATATTTGAAAAAATAAAAATAAAAAAAATAAAAAAATAAAGAATTTAAATTAAAAAAACCGTATGAATTGTTTACTTGTGAAGTTTTTCATCTAATATTTTCAGACTGCAATTGACCATGGGTAACTGAAACTGAGGAAAGAAACCCCAACAGATAAGGCAGGACACACCGTACTTCTTGGCTAGGAAGCCCTCCACAGCTTTTCCCTTCATCCCTCCACTCCCCAAGACCATTGTTTAGAATACTGTCTCTAAAGGACCTCTTATAGCCATCCCTGCAGCACTGCTACCTGAATGAAAATAAAACCATCTTCTAACGGCCCCTGACCCTGGTCTCTCTCCCTCCAGTATGTTTTTCACATACCCGCAAGAGCAACGATGAGCTGCCTGCTGTCAGAGCCAGCAGGGGCACCGCTCAGCTCTGAGTGGCTCTGAGTCCATGTATTCTCAAGTCTTCCCAACTACGTCAGGGCTGGTCCTTCTCCAACCCTGCCCTCTGTACTAACTGTTGGGAACTTAGTCCAAGTTCCTCCTTTATCTCCTGCTCACAGACACAGGACAATTCTCGGCGGCAGGGCAGAGAGAGAAGCCATGAGAGGTTGTGGGTGTATAAGAATGAGTCTTTATTGCAGAAGCCAGTGGCCACACAGCCATCAGACAAGGACAATTCATTACAGCAAAGTCCATACCAGCAGGCAGCCGCACACCGGCTGGTGAACAGACATCCTTCTGACATGGTAGCGTTAATCTCTGTACCCACAGTTAGTATCCGAGCAGCCGCACGCTGCCCACTAGACTCACCGCCTCACATCGTAGCTGGCTCAGCAGCTTCTCCTGTCTCCCGGCCCAGCACACTGGCTGGTTAACACGGCAGCTATAGCTGAGCTCTTGTGAGCTCTTAGCCTCTCCTGCACACAGAGGAGCTACATCCTATTTCCTCAGGCTCCACTTCTCGGAGCTCTCTAGTCTCTGCTCTGCCCAGCTGCTCTCTCTAACAGACTTCTTCACACACTCCTGGTCAGCAGCCTATTACTCCAGGGACAAAGAAGGCTGGTTGCCAACAGTGACATCAATCATTTGGCTGCAGAAGGAAACAGTATATATACTGTGTGTCCTTGCATCCGCTCCTGGTATCTTGGCCTAATTACAGCCCAGGCTCAGAGTCCTTGGACACCCCGATGAGGCTCATGCTCACAGCAGCCTTGGCCATTCTGGGGCATTGGTAACAAGGCTTCTGTGCTCCCATTGGCTTGGACTATCGGGGAACCTGGCGTGGTTTCCACACTTGCTATAGTCTCCATTGTGCACAGTTTAACTCTTCAGCATGCATTTATGGTTGAAATAATGTGTCTGAACTCTGCTTTTAAATACTAAAGATAAAAAAAGTGGTGGTGGTAGGGGGGAACTAGGGTAGATGAGACAAGAGTGGGAAAATGTTGATAAGTAATGAACTGGATGATGAGTACATGGGTTTTCATGATATTATTTTCAATTTCTGTGTATTTGATTTTTTATAGTATGTTTTAAAAATTCCTCAGCATAGCATGTAAATAAAACCATCCAAAAATCTGGCATCTAACACACATCCTGTGCTGTGCTATATGCAGTACTTTTTAGTTTTCAGAATATACTGTGTCCTTTCGTGCCAATGTACCTTTGCACACACTGCCCTGCTGTGCCTGCATGCACTTCCCACATGTGGACCAGGTAAACTAGTCATTCTTCACCTCCTCCTCGATTCTCTGAGCTATTCAAGCAGAATTAACCGGTAATATCTGCTCTATTGTAATCATAACCCTCTATTAAAATTGCTCTTGTCTATCTTCTCTATTGGCTTAGAAATTGAAATTAAGGTCAGAGGAATGGTTTCTTTTCATTTCAACTTTGTACCCTTGGGGGCCTATCACAGGGCCTGGTAAAGAATGGCTTTCAAAGGGGTTTGCTGAAATCAATAGAACTTTTAAGAGAAAATCAATTCACAGTGGTTTCCAAGGTCTCACAGCTGGGAAGAAAAGGAATAGGATTCCAATTCCTAGCAGCCACCAGTAAACCCAGAACCCATGGCCAGGAGACAGGGAAATTGAGGGGAAGTGAGAGAAAGACTCAGTGGAGGGCATGCAAGCTTAAAAGGTTGTTGGTCTCTGAAGTAAAATATTAATCCTTGTAATTTTGAAGTCACAGGGCATTTCCAGGGCATTCAGTATGTTCCTGTATCAAGAGAGTAACAGATCGCCCTAACCGGTTTGGCTCAGTGGATAGAGCGTCCGCCTGCGGGCTCAAGGGTCCCAGGTTCGATTCCGGCCAAGGGCATGTACCTTGGTTGCGGGCACATACCCAGTAGGGAGTGTGCAGGAGGCAGCTGATTGATGTTTCTGTCTCATCGATGTTTCTAACTCTCTATCCCTCTCCCTTCCTCTCTGTAAAAAATGAATAAAATATATTAAAAAAAAAAAAGAGTAACAGATGAAGTATTAAATGATTTTCTTTAAGAGTGAAAGACTACAGAAGCAGGGCTCAATTTCAGGACCTAAGACTAATTTAATGAAATTTACTAGTAGAAAAGAAAACCTTTCAAAGTTCTCTAAAAACATCAAATACCTGAGTACCTGGATAGTATGAAACTGGTCAAGAAAAATTTTTAAAAAAATATATTTTATTGATTTTTTACAGAGAGGAAGGGAGAGGGACAGAGAGTTAGAAACATCGATGAGAGAGAAACATCGATCAGCTGCTTCCTGCACACTCCCCACTGGGAATGCGCCCGCAACCAAGGTACATGCCCTTGACCGGAATCAAACCTGGGACCCTTGAGTCCGCAGGCCGACACTCTATCCACTGAGCCAAACCGGCTAGGGTTCAAGAAAAACTTGTAAAGAAATTTAAGGGGACATGGTTGTAGAAATAATCACCACTACAAAAATAGTAACAAAAATTATTTAAACATAAAGAAACCTGGAAAAGTTTCACACAGTTCCAATTTCAGATTTTATACAATGTGTTAAAATATGGAAGGTATATCATTTACAAACAAATATGAAAAGGCCAAACATTAAGGTTATATTCAAAATAATATACTTTTTACAGAAAAAAAAAAGACGGTCTTCTAGATTAGGGATTTAAATGGCAATTTAATTGATTCATTAAGTAACACTACTTAAATCGCATTCTCAGTGACAATTACAGGCACTAAATATATCCTCTGGGAGGAACTACTTTTGAAAAACGGTTTTTACTGATTTTCAGAAGGAGAGGAAGGGAGACCGGGAGAGAGACAGAAACATCAGTGATGAGAGAGAATCATTGATCGGCTGCCTTCTG